GACAAGCGTTGAACAAAGGATAACTTATAGCGGACAAAGATATAAAAATGGGATTTATCATGCAACACACTGGCTTGCACTCTAGGTTTTTGTAAAAGTTCAACAATGGCCAAAAAAGACCTTTTATGGACCAACGAAAGAACTGAAAAAGTAGAATAATACTTTAGGTTCCTTTTTCAACCTGTAACACAAAATCGTGGTGACTCAATGAGCGATCAAACAGTCTCTTTGTGGAAAAGCAAAAATGACATTGAAAATTACAGCACTTTGAAAGTAGCCTAGCTTAAGTACAACGAAAAAAAAGTTGAAAGGTTAGTGTGTGTGAAACCAATACTTTACAGCTGTAGTCTTTACTGCTATTCTGACTTGAAGTTTTTCGATTTAGAAATAAAAACCAAAATCAAAAAGCAAACGCTTTCAACCTTCGAACGCTTCTAGTGACAAGTTCAAGCTTTTCAAATATGCTAAGAAAAGAGCAGAAGAAGACATCTACTCTATGGCTCCGGTCAGAGTTCGCTCAAAAGCGCCCTAAAACGCTCAAAAGCGCCCAAATTTCTCTAAACTCTTTTCATTTTCTCGTGTGAGGAGAAATGAGAGAAAGTGAAGAGAGGTTAGAAAAATCTGGGCGTTTTTGGGCCTTTTTGAGCGCTTTTCAGCGAAGTCTGGCCAGGGCCATAGAGTAGCTGCTGTCTTATGCTCTTTTCTCAGCATATTCTGAACAGTTGAACTAGTCACTAGAAGCTTTCAAAAGATTGAAAGCGTTTGCTTTTCGGTTTTGGTTTTTGATTTCTAAATCGAAAAACGTCAAGTCAGAATAGCAGTAAAGACTACAGCTGTAAAGTATAGTTTCGCAAATGTCTTGTATATACGACTCGAACACCCACTCTTCGGAAGGAAGGATCTGCGATGCGTGATCGGTTCGCTCGATTTTCGTTGTTCGTTCAATTCGTAGCCCAGTGTTGAACGATCACATTCAGCCGACACAGCATGCACATCCCGCCGCAAACAAGGAACACCATCTTCAAACTGTACGGTACCAGAGGCTGGAGGCGATGGCGGTGGAATACGGCTGCTCGCTGAGGGACCATGGTTGTTCGTAGCAGAAGTTGACGGTGCTGACGTTCGTCGTTCGGTAATGGAAGTCGCTCCTTCTGGGTACGGGGACATCTCATCTCCATGCTGATAGCCTCCTCCACATGAACCGGGACATGTGAACATGGTGTTTAGCCAGACATGTCCTATCTAAATCAACAATTTACATTCTGGATAACTTTGTAGCATTCGTATGACAAAAATCATCAAAAAAAAATCAAAAGAGCTAACTTGCAACTAATTCTGCAAAAGTAAAAAACACTTCTAATCGTTGCACCCCTACATTTCTGCTAATCACTGATAAAACATCAAATGACTACAAATTCCGTAATTCTAGCTGTAAATCCAAACGAATGTTGCAATAAAACTTAGATATCTCAAGATTTATGACTCGCCGCTTTACAAAGCTCTGATCTCTAAAGCAAATCGTCGCTATCGCTTTGCATAGCACGGCAAATAGAATGATTTCCGATGATTACAAAAAAAGCGAGCTTGCACTTTATGCAAAATCAAAGCTATACATTCAAAGCTAAAGATATATGGATTGATTTGGGGAAGATGCACAACTTCCCTGCGTCCTTTATCACAAGTAAAGATTAAAAAAAGCGGTGCAAATATAACCAACCTTTTCCCTCTTCTTTTTATTCTTCCGTAATCGTGATCCAGTAGTAGGTGTTTCGGCAAAAATATCCACTCGTATATCTCCTTCCAAATAGACACGATATGGATGTGTCACTGACCATCCCCATGCTCTCCTAAATTTATTCGTAAAGAAGGAGTAAAGTGCCACACTTCACAAAAAGTGATGCAGCTGATCAAACACGAAAACAAAAAACGAATAGGTCCTCAGATTCTTGACTTGGGTAAATACCAACATTTATGCAAATAGGGTAGATATTTCTGTATTCATAGTGCCTGCAGTGTCAATATGCGCAAACGTTCGCTTACTCATACCCAGAGCTTTTTCACGGGTTTCTTTTTATTTTCACAGAAATCAAATTCATTTCTGCTAAGTACTGCTGTGACATGATTTGACAATGATCCAGAACACCGCTAAACAGAATTATTGTGCCC